CACACGTTGTAGTGTTGGTTCATTTATTTAGTAGCGTTCTACCGACGTGATTTTAAGGTATATTAAAATCTTCTGATATTCAGTAAAGGATATAATTTAATAATTCATTTGTGAAACATATAATTTAATAATTCATTTGTGAAGCATATCAAAAAAAAAAAAAAAAAAAAAAAACAATTAAGGGGAAGTATACCAAGTTCAACTTTTCTTACTTTCATTTTTCCAACACCAAACATATACATGAAATATGAGTTCGGAGCCTTACATAAGAGATAAGAGATTCATCATGAATTTTGTTACTCAACCTGTACAATTGGTTCGCCTTCTCCCTCAGTCCAGCACGGCCAAGGTCGGTCTGCCGGCTAGACATACTCGGCCAGCCCAGGTTACATGAACCAGGGGAGTTCAGCCTCCATATTCCCGCTCTTTAGCTACGTCACGAAATTTCCATACGCGGACTACCGAGGTGTAGTATTACGTAGCAGGACGCATGCTTAAGCTTGTTCCGATGGTCGTTTGGTAGAATTCACTACAACGCACTCACACACACACATACACACAAACACAGACACACAGACACACAGACACACAACACACACACACACACACATACACACACACACACACACAACACACAAACACACACACACACAAACACACACACACACATATATGTGTGTGTGTGTGTGTTTGTGTGTGTATGTGTGTGTGTATGTGTGTGTGTGTGTGGGTTGTGTGTATAAGAAAAATACAGTAAAAAAGGGATAAATTTTTTGCCTTAACCCAGCATACACACTTGCCATATGCTGCGAGATTTCCCTTTTTTCTCTCATCTGCGACGCCGAGCTTGACAATAGCCTGTGATTATGGAGGGACTAATGAGGTATTGTGTTACTCTTGTACCACACACGGGCTGTTCGTCCGTACTGTGCCACTGATTAGCTGCAGCTTTGGTCTAAATAACTAAAGGCGGTTATAGGTACAAAGAAGCATTTAGAGAGAGAGAGAGAGAGAGAGAGAGAAAGAGAGAGAGAGAGAGAGAGGAGGCAGAGACAGATACAGAGACAGAGAGTTAGGGAGGGATAAATTTATATACATATAGAGGGAGAGAGAGAAAGAGAGACAGATGGAAGAAGGAGGAAGAGAAAATAAGAGAAAAAGGGAGATAGAAAAAAAAATTGAAGAATTCATATGGGCGCAGAACCTTAAGATAATTTTCGCAAGTCAACGGCATTTCTGAACCCTCTTTCGTTGTATAGCGGTGTCCAGTAACATCATTAGAAAGTAGTTGACGCCTCTCGAGTAAGGTGATACGGTACCTACGTGCATATAATGAATATTCACGGAAATTGCAAATAATGTCAGCAAAAAAAATTATAGGTAATAACTACGTCGTGGAAGATATATCTATCTCATTGTGGAGATCCGTAACTGCATATTCAGATGACATATTAAGTGCATGAACAATGTGCTGGTTGGCACGCACACACTCACACACATAAGTCACATGCTCTCTCTCTCTCTCTCTCACTCTCATTCTCTCTCTGTCTCTCTCTCTGTTCTCTCGCGTGTCTCNGCGCTGGCAGTAATGACATATGAATGAAGCACGGCTCGTTTGGTCACGTTCCTCCATTTCCAGTTTCTTGCGAATGTGGTCCAACTTATATTTAACAACATTAACAAAACTCTGGAAGATAATGTTGACATTAATTTTGATAATATTTTACAAAGCAATGGAAAAAATCAGATATGTCCTACAGTGTTATTCAAGGCCGTTTAGTTCTACTTACCTTATAATTTACAAAATAATACTGTTCCTTTTGGGATTTGCCATCCTCTAAGGTAACCATCTTATTTCTTGCTTGTATGAATTTATCTGCTCGGAGGGTATTTATTCGCTGCCTAAGCATTTTACGGTCAAATTTCAGGAGGTCACACAAGTCATCTTCACTCATGCCTGAAAAATGTAAGCAGTAGTGTAAATCAACTATTATTTCCTATGTTCGTATTATGCTAAGCTGTAAACACTATCAAAAATCAATCGATGCAATTTAATTACTAACTGGTGGCTTGGTGGAGCTTTTGCTGGATATTCAGATTTGTGCAATTCTCATCCCTATCCAATAAACAGTTATCATGACCACAAAATAATAAAACAAAAAAGGGATAAAAAGGGAAACAGAGAGGGAAAAAAAAGAAAAAAAAGAAAAGAAAAGTGACATGAAAAAACTGAAAAAAATGGAAGGAAGCAATATAATGTATAATGAAGAAACAAAGAAACAGAAGTAGGAGAAGAAAAAAGAACATGAATGAAAAAATTATGAAATAAAAGAAGAAAAAAGAATTGGAGACATGAGGGGACAATAAAGGATCACACAACCATCAAAAAGAGAAGAAGAGAGAGAGGAAAAGGAGAAGGAAACTAATTGTTATATCTTAATATGAACAGATAAGATCGTATTGAACAGATAAGATCGTATTGAACAGATAACATCATGTATCTATTTTTTAAAACGATTTTTCCCCAGATATGATGGATTATTTCTACAAAACTTTTACATACATGCATGCTCTCTTCATCAAGCTTTAACAACTTACAAAAGTTCCTGACGAGCATGTCTATTATCAGAATGTCCTCAATGGTGTAAAATCCTCTTACCACCAGACGTACAAGCATCTGGAGGTTTTGGGGTACCTCATGTAAAGGCTCTTCCATGTTACCTTTCCTGAATTAGCTGAAAATTTAGAAGAAAAATCAGTTATCTTGAGTTGGATAAAGATTACTACCTATAGCCTATAATTCAAATAACATAGCAAAGAAAGAGAGGTCTAATAAATAATACATGACTCTTACTCACACCAGTATGTTTTATATGCGAGTTGATAATTGAGGTTTATACACAAGCAATGCTCAGTGGTGAACTTGGATATGGTGGTGACTGTAAATAATATATGAAATATGGAATATGTATGACTGTAAATAATATATGAAATATGGAATATGTATGAAACTGAAATATAATGTGAAATTATTTTGAAACATCATTATGTAATAGGAAAATAATATATATTGCACACATGGTATAATGAGCATGCTCATTATTGTTTTGCATCACAATCTATTCACGTTAAAGTATTGGTAATTCTTTATGAAGTGACCTCACTTCTCTGAGACAAAGTTCCTATTATTTTTACCACTCCTGAGAATTGACAAAGATTGCTGTATGAACCAAAAAACATCCTAACATGGGGGTCCCTCCCTAGACTCCCATCCAATCACTGTATTTCCCTATTGGGAGCTCTGCTCCTGGACCCCAACCAAATATCCAAATATATAGAAATTATTGTATGGAAACCAAACCCCAAAACTGCCACATGCTTGGCCCCAATAGCAGGGCAGGACATGAAAGGTACCTGGGAAATTGCTGCATAAAATATGAATATACATGGGGGCTGCTGCCTCCCCAAACCCTGCCCAGGAAAACAAAGAACCCTCTGCATATTAAAGGCAAGGGAGAGTGTATGACTGCCAAGCAGGAATGCAGTTGCCAAGTCTGTCTGACACTCTCTCCTGCTGTGAATACTGAATGCCTGAATGGCAGTTGGGGGCAGCAGCCCTCCATGGGGGGTCACGTAGGTAGAACCTGCATTAGACAATATAGTTGATTCTGCATAGATTATTCGGTATTATTGGAAAAAGGTGTCACCAGTGAATCGACCAAAACTAACCTTATAGCCTTGAAGATTTTTAATTAACAATCACTTTTCATTAAATAAACGTCTCGCAAATTAATAACAATGAAGTTATTTAATTTTCAAAATAAATAAAAGTAATAATAAAACGAGGTGAGATTCACACGGGAGCTGTGGGAATACTGACCAAATTCTCCACTGTGCATGTGCGGGGTCTCTTGTATCAATACTGTTCCTGTTATCTCGCCTGTGACGTCACAACCAATGTCACAATTACATTGGTCAATTGTTTGGCAGTTAATTTAATAGCCAATGGGGAAAGAATTCACAAAGGAAACAGCCAATGAATGAACAATATTGTGACTAAATCAGTACAGTGATTACAGCAGAGAACGAGAATTCCATAGTGCACATGCATGATATCAAGAATGGTGCAACTCTGGTATGGAAAAGACAATCCAGCCATTTCCGATGAAAACGAACACCAGAATCAACCGAACCAAAACAATAGAAGTCAAATTAATCTAGTTTTGTCCCGAAAAACGTTGCTGACGTCTTTTTCCAAATTTACCGATTACTCATATTTCATCCCACAATATCCTTAGTACATTTCATGCCCTCCGCTACTACCAGGGCCAAGCTCATCACAAATGGAGTGATAGATGGGTTTCCGTGCGATAATACCTACATATTTGCATAGTAGACCATAAAAGGAATCAAATGATAACAATCATTGAGATCCGTTTGGTGTAACTATTAGATATTACCCTATCAATAACTGGCAAATCTTGACTTATACTATGTGACTGAAACTATTCCAACACTTGTTCTTCATTATCCATATCTGACAACAGCAGAGTGGGTTACAGAAAGACTCATACGGAAAAGTCAACAACCCAAGCACAGACTTGCTATTCACAGGAGAATATCTGCCAGATGGAAAGATCTACATACCAGGGCAAGCCTGCAACAAGAAACGAAAATTAAAGTTGTAGTATAACAACGGCGTAAAACGAAAAGATTAACATGGATTACATATAAAACCACATAAAAGATGAGGGAAGAATAATGACAATAGCGTTCTATAAGAGTACCAATTATCAATTTAAAGCCCTTGAAACGTAATTTCTCTACCGCAAAACTTTCCCTGTAGTTTTAATGCTACTCAAATGCATAAAAACGCCTTGTTGATGACTATACTACCTCAGTTTCGTTGATTTTCGTCAATGCTTCGCTACTTGTACGTACGCTCAGTGGCCTTTTGTTTATGACTTTATATATCCTTTGAACAAAGATCTTTATCTTTTGTTACATTAGATGTTCATACCGTATGTGGTATTAACACTTTCCTAACAAATGGTGTTAATGTTGCTAATGTTTTTTTTAAATATAATAAATGATTCCATTTATAAGCAATGAAAATGATCACATCGCTCTTACATGATGTGGATATAAGCGATCGCAATTGTCGGCAAAATTTTTCAAACGTCTGAAAATAAAGAAAAAAAACTATCTATATAATGACAGCCATGTACATAATGTATGTTTGTAGGCATAGATATAAACATTTACGTAAACGTACATACACAGACGCATATGCACAAACACACATGCACAATGTATATATAAACAAGATAATTTGATATATATATATATATATATATATATATATATATATATATATATATATATATATATATATAATATATAATATATATATATATATATATATATTATATATATATATATATATAATATATATATATATATATGTACACACACCACACAGGTACACACACACATACACACACAAGCACACACACACACACACACACACACACACACACACACACACACACACACACACACACACACACACACACACACACACACACACACACACACACACACACACACACACACACACACACACACACACACACACATGTATATGTATTATGTATATATTGTATATATATATATATATATATATATATATATATATATAATATATATGTATATATATACATATCATTACCAATTGTTTACCTTGATTTTCTATACATCTCTGTATTTGAAGTGAAAATATTAATAAAATGCTAATTTGAAATCTAATACGAGAGTGGTTGGAGTCGAAACAGAAAAGGAAAGAAGAGGGGAGAAAGAAGGCCGACAGGGGAAAGGAGAAGAACCGAAGAAAGGTAGACAGAGAGAGAAGGGACGAAAAGAGAAGGCAAAAAAGTAAGTGAACGTAGAAAGAGAAGAGAAATAAAAAAAGCCACAAAGTACGCCAGCGATAAGGCCGGTCCCTCTATCACGCAGCATTCCAATCTCAACCTAACGAACGTCCGATACTGATTAATGTCCTTTACAAACTCACAAATCATTGAAAAAATAGGAGACAGAAGAGAAAGAGAGAGAGAGAGAGAGAGAGAGAGAGAGAGAGAGAGTCAAGGGAAGGGAAAGAAAGAAAGAGCGATAGTGAGAGGAGAGGATAAGATGAGGAGAAATATAAAATGCGAGGAGGGGAAAAGAGGAGAGAGGCCTTTAGACACTCGCTCATGCTGTTCTGTTAATGTTGATACCCGTGTATTGTTACTGATATTGGAGTAAAAGGTATGAATCCGTTTTGTTATTGTAGAAAAAGATCTGCTTTCCAGTTTTTCGTTAACAAGATGAATATGAAAATGTTGACGTTGATTAACCAAATTTGAAATTATAATTAAAACATTTAAATATTGACCCAATCAAACTCTTACACAATAACTGCATATGTGAAATATATTTTTAAGCAATGACAATGCGTATTGTAAAATGTTTCACCCACGGCATTCATATAAATCGCTTTTTTCATACAAATCACAGTTTCTTCACAATGTGACGGCATTTCCCCATGTAAAAAGATTCATACTAAAGACGTACAATAAGAAAACTACTCTCTCTCTCTCTCTCTCTCTCTCTCTCTCTCTCTCTCTCTCTCTCTCTCTGTCTGTCTGTCTCTCTCTCTCTTTCACGTGAGAGCGTGATTATTACATGAAGAAGGGAAGGAAGAGAGAAAGAGTGAGTACTGGAAAGATAGTAGAAACATTCTAAGATGTATAATAATAAATAAAATCTCTCTCTCTCTCTCTCTCTCTCTCTCTCTCTCTCTCTCTCTCTCTCTCTCTCTCTCTCTCTCTCTCTCTCTCTCTCTCTCTCTCTCTGTCTGTCTGTCTGTCTGTCTGTCTGTCTGTCTCTCTCTCTCTCTTTCACGTGAGAGCGTGATTATTACATGAAGAAGGGAAGGGAGAAAGAGTGAGTACTGAAAGATAGAAACATTCTAAGATGTGTAATAATGAATAAAATCTCTCTCTCTCTCTCTCTCTCTCTCTCTCTCTTTAAAGTCAACCATGCTTACAACTACACCACGGAGACATGTTTAATAGTGTAATTTAGAAGTATAATAAATGTATGATTATGATAACTTTTTTTCTCTCTCTAACTCTCTCTCTTTCTCTCTCTCAATGTAGTCTATGCAATCTAGTTTTATGATTTAATGATCTAATTAATATAGTTCTTAAATAATATAATTTATTATCGTTGTATCAATACAGTGTGTATACTCAGAATTATTTATGTCTGCCGTAGGTTAAAAATCGTAGAAACTGGAAAATAATAGAAATAAAAATAAATATTCTAATGTGATGTGTTATAATACGCCTATAATCACACTCGTACTTCATTCCCATCGATTTAGATAATATCAACCTCGCCATATCCACTCTGTTCTTGGCTCCTTTAAAATACCCAATAATAATAAAATCAGGGCTTGGGTGCCCCGCCCTCGTAAGGACTCTCTAAATTGCCCTCATGAGACGCGGAAAACAATACTGAAATTCTATATTTGTTCAGGATGATTCCACATCGGTACTGGTATGGAATACTTGCCTGACACTATTTTACGTGGTGTCAAACGTTAATCAAGCCGTTTCCTTGTTGCTTACTGTAGTTTTTCCTTCAATAAGTACAAATGGCCCCCGCGCCTTCACAACTGACGCTGCATCCGTCCTTCTCTCACCTTTATTAAATAATTTTCTAAAAGTGAATTGTTCTGTGGCTACAAATGCACGCAGACAAGACAAACGATTGTGATATTGATAATTTAGGAATAAACATTCAAATTTCCTATGAATGTATAAAATCTTTGATGAATATCTAGTGGGCAAGGAGAAAGAATGAAATCGAGATTAAGTGGTCTATTTGCGTTTTGCAACTGAACACACACAGACACTGATACTAATAAGGCCACAGAATTAATAGAAATAGCAAAAAAATAATTGAAATAAATATATATTTATGATTCATTGTGTATGGTATCGTTTCTCCCGTCCCAAAACAATAATAGAAAATAGTTGGCGGAAATACCTGACTCTCATGCGTCATGTCATGTCATGTCTATTGTCTATCGTGAATATTTTTGATTTTGATTTCCCAAATAATAAATTCTGGTTGAAAGAATTCTTTGTTTTCATTCAACTCCTCGAAGACTTGTAGTAAGACAGAACTGTACTTCCTCCAGGTGGGGCTGGAACTGATGCATTCCTTTGGAAGGTAGGAGGTGCACTTGTCTTATTTTGGTGCTGGGGATCTCTCTCTCTCTCTCTCTCTCGTCTCTCTCTCTCTCTCTCTCTCTCTCTCTTCTCTCTCTCTCTCTCTCTCTCTCTCTCTCTGTCTCTGTCTCTGTCTGTCTGTCTGTCTGTCTGTCCTCTCTCTTTCACGTGAGAGCGTCATTATTACATGAAGAAGGGAAGGAAGAGAGAAAGAGTGAGTACTGAAAGATAGTAGAAACATTCTAAGATGTGTAAATAATGAAAAAAATTCACTCTCTCTCTCTCTCTCTCTCTCTTCTCTCGTCTCTCTCTCTCTCTCTCTCTCTCTTCTCTCTCTCTCTCTCTCTCTCTCTCTCTCTCTCTCCTCTCTCTCTCTCTCTCTCTCTCTCTCTCTCTCTCTCTCTCTCTCTCTCTCTCTCTCTCTCTCTCTCTCTCTCTCTCTCTCTCTCTCTCTCTCTGACCAAGTTTTCGTTTTGTTAACGTTTTGAATTGTTTAAATCATTCTAAAAGAAATGACAGGAAAAGCACAGTTGCAATGAATCTGATATAATCCTAGCATATGTAAATTTTAATTTGAACATTGTTCCGCTAATATTTTTTTTTTTTAAATTATCATCCAATCTACATATTACTAAAAAAAAAAAAAAAAAATAGACAAAAGACTTGGGAATTGAACCCGTCTCCCCCCCCCCCCTGGAAGGCGAGTGCTTTACCATTGAGACATTGCTTCGGATTACGAATTTGCTGTTTGGCATTAATAACGTGCAAGATAGGCCCCCTATAATTTCTGATAAATTCATCATCACAATGGTTTCCGATGGGTGCCTAAGTGATTATTATTACATGAAGAAGGGAAGATAGAGAGAGAGTGAGTACTGAAAAGAGAGTGGAGACATTCTAACACATAATGATAGATAAATAATAATAAATAAATAAATAAAATCAAAATTAATAAAATTTCTCTCTCTCTCTCTCTCTCTCCCTCTCACGTGAGAGCGTGATTATTACATGAAGAAGGGAAGGAAGAGAGAAAGAGTGAGTACTGAAAGATAGTAGAAACGCGATGTAAAATAAATATATAAAATTCTCTCTCTCTCTCTCTCTCTCTCTCTCTCTCTCTCACACACATGAGAGCGTGATTATCACACGAAGAAGGGAAATAGAGAAAGTGAGTACTGAGAGATGTAAAACATTCTAAAGACGGTACAATAATAAAACTAATGAAACTCCCTAACTCTCTCTCTCTCTCACGCACGCGAGAGCGTGATTATTACATGAAGAAGGGAAGAAAGAGAGAGTGAGTACTGAAAAGATAGTAGAAACATTCTAAGATGTATGATAATACTGTTCTTTTATGATCACCTGTCAAACTTATGTCCGCTCCTTTGTTTTTGTCAGGACTCAGGCTATATCTCTTTTATCTATCTCTCTATCATCTACCTTTTTAGCGATATATCTTTTATCTATCTATATATCTATCAGCGTGATGATTACATGACAAAGGGAAGATAGAGAGAAAGTGAGTACTGAAAAGATAGTAGAAACATGATGTATGATAATAAAATTAAAAATCTCTCTCTCTCTCTCTCCTCTCTCTCTCTCTCTCTCTCTCACGCGAGAGCGTGATTATCACATGAAGGGAAAGAAGAGAGAACAGTGAGTACTGAGAGATAATGTAAAACATTCTAAAGACGGTACAATAATAAAACTAATAAAAC